AGAGAGAGAGAGAGAGAGAGAGAGAGAGAGAGAGAGAGAGAAAGATTCTTGTGTTTTTTTTACCCATTTCTTTTCTTTCAACATATCAGAGGCAAAATGATTCAGTCCCATAAACAAAGTTATTCAGCAACAGGGACCACAGAGAAAGACGCTTCCCATAAACTTGGATTTGCAAGAGTTTGTAACTTACTTTGCAAAATAGAAATATGCAATTAGTTAATTCATAACAAATCTCCCTTGGAATGTATTGAGAGCAGGATCAGGCCCAGTTTTCTTGAATAAAATATAGGCGCAAAGAAGTAAATTCTTAAATCAAATAACAAGAATAGCCTGGTGTTGAATTTCAATGAAAGGAGAGGCAAAAAATAGCTCATATATCATTTTGAATATATAGTTCAAAGGCAAAGTTTGTATTCAGAGTAAGACACATTTATCCTGGGATTATTGGATCATTTTGCAGTTAATAATTCATGCAGGGAATAAATGTCTCCTAGGAGATATCAGAGGGCAAAGGAGATGGTATTCAAGTGACAGAAGCCCACCTACCTGATACATCCTGGAAATAAGCTTTGGAACAGGTTTGAGCTCTCTCTGATGTTCCCAGGTTTTCTAAAATCCTCATCCATTCTCCTCTAGTTAGTTTACATTGTCAGTGACTATTTCAGTGATGAGACTGAAAAATTAATTCTTAGTAAGAAATTACAGTGAAAAAGAGCTGAATCCTGGTCTTTCCTTCTGTATTTCTGCCAAAATTGTGTTTCTTCTTTGTGGGACACTGAAGTGAGATGTGTCTCTCTTGATACCTTCACCAAGCTAGAAAGCGAAAGTAAAAAAGGAACTGAGGCTGCAGAGAGGGAGGGGGAGGAGCTTCCAAGGGTCATAGAGCTGAGGAGCCAGGGGCTGGGTAGATGGGAGTCCTCCAAGATCATAGAGACTGGGGTCCCTGGGGCTTGAGAGGCTGATTTCCAGTTCCCCCCTCTGCTGTGTGTCTCAGGGACACAGTCTGAGCCGGGCTCCCTGCCACCCCCAGAGCCAGGGTCGGATTCTCTCCCCAGGGATGGAGCCCGGTGGGAAAGCTGTGCTGGGGAA